GGGCCAGTTTCACCAACGCTTAGCGCTTTTTTTACCTTTTTTTTATTATAAAAAAGGTAAGTTTGTATATAATTTTAAAATTCCATAGAGAAAAACTTATATACACATCATTATTACCGTATAAATCATAAAAGATCGTCGATGCACCACAGCACAGTCATCACCAATGTCATTGCGATCAATTTGTTTCGCATTAATAAAAAATTCTCTAACTAATTAACCACCTTCTTTCTCCTTCCTTTTCGTTGCCTGTAAATTTAAGTTATTTTTACAATAAATCAAACAACGCATAATTGATAAAAAATATAAATAAAAAACAAAATAAATATTTGTTTTACATATAAAGTACATATATGATACTTGTTTTACAATAAAATAAATATTTATTATTTGTTTTTGATGAAAAATAAATATTTAAAAGACGCTTCAAAAATTGTCTGCAGATTAGGAATCTGAGTATTTATAGATCTTATATTTTTGTAAGACCGTCTTAAGTACAGTTTTAAGATGTGAACCAATCAGAGAACCGTATTAACATCTGAAGATGTTACTTAAAATAACCTTAAAATAAGAACGGACTATAAATATAAATATCGTCCTATAAATTATTGATTCTTATGTTCTTTATAATTTAAAATAATTATAAGGCTCAATATGTATAAAACAATATAAATATTAACAGGGTATAGAACCAATATTACAACGCACAATTTTTATTAAAATAATAACATTACAAACGTTTTGACTCCGATCGGGTCATTTTCAATGCAAAAACAATTTTATCTTAGAAATCCGGTCACATTAGTAAAATCTTTCAAAATACATAATAAAAATAAATATAACACATCATAATGTCGCTAGCATAATGTAATCATAAAAAATTAATTGTAACGTTTCCTAATAATTGCAGAACAACTAGTCAATAATCTAAGAAGAGAATTTTATTATGTATTTTGAACGATTTTACTAATGTGACCAGATTTCTAAGATAAAGTTGTTTTTGCATTGAAAATGACCCGATCGGAGTCGAAACGTTTGTAATGTTATTATTTTAATTAAAATTGTTCATTGTAATATTGGTTCTATGCCCTGTTAATATTTATATTGTTCTTTATAATTGTTACATTTATTGGACCGCATTAAAGCTTTTATTTCGCTTATATATTTTTGTGTATCAAGCAGAATAACAAATCATTATAATATCAAAATGATGTCAAAATAACTCCAAAATGATCATTAAAAGTCATTTTTCAATTATTTCCGATTTAATCATTTTCACGTTATCATGACTTGTTGTTCTGCTTGGGAATATTAAAGTCAGATCAAATTAACAATCATAAAATTTAATTACTTCTTTCTGTATTGTATTATCCAATTTCTAATAATATATATATTTTACATTGTTTGTATTGTTTACATGAAAAATATTGATGTAAACATAATATAAATAATACATAAATATTTTATGTAAATATACTATACGGTACCTGCACGGAAAGAAATCTGTTACGATTTTGGCACGAACAGTCGATACTGCTATCGCGTGGCCTATTTCAATGCGCTAATAGCACCATCGTTCAATCTGTTTATGCATGAAGTCGTGCAATCATGGCACGAGAATTGCTATGAAAAAAAAGAATGTGATGCTATGGTCGTACCAGCTTTTTACGGTAGCCGCACGAGCGCAGTACGCATAAAG